ACGTCAAAAACCCAACCCTGCTTAGTACTTATCTGATTGTATTACTTTATTTTTCACCCAATTTCTTTTTTTGTGTTGTATCAATGTTTTAAATTTTGGCTTTTTATTTCATGGGTTGGTTATACAAGCGTTCATTGTTTTCATATATAACTTTAGAAAATACTGCTTACATTAGGTTTCATTTAATTAAATTTGTTTATTTAAATTCATTAAGTTTTTCCATGATGAGAATAGTATCGCCCCAGACTGAAGCATGCTGTTGAGTGATTTTCTCTGATTTAACTTACTAGTGCTTAAGATTGAAATAAAGTTCCTCAGATGGATAAGACCAATTAGCTATTTTAAATTTATATAATATGGTTGAGTATTTGTAGAATGCTATTTTTGTACAGACTTACTTCTAATACAAAATATGTAACATTTCACTTCTATTTTCATGGCAGATAATCATTTTCCTAAATCTGTTTTATTTTTATTCCAAGAGTTTTTCATGAAAATGCCATCACCTGAATTTATTCTATTTTTTAATCATGTTTGTCTGTTCACCCTCGAAAGCTTTGGAATCTGTAGTCTGATGAAAAAAGTTCATTTATCACATATAAGGATAACTATTTTTTCTTTACTGATATGTATACTGTTTTTCGTGCATCTCTGGGTAGTTAGAAATATTTAAATTTGACTTTGTTGGAATAAACATAACTTATCAAGGAACAGGATGATTTTGCAAGATACTTTAATTGTGTGTGCAAAAAATTTTTTTTTTCTTACTCTGGTGCATAATGGGAGACATGAAACAAACTTTTAATAGCTATAAATATATCAGCTATTAAGTTTGTTGTAATTTTTAGGACTGCTGGATGATATTGCTAAAAGAAAAAGCTCTAATACATGTTTAGTCTAAAATTTTAAATGGGAGAATTGGGGTCATTGACTGTGCAGATTAGTTGTTTCTATAATTTGTTTATTTCTTTGTTTAGATTGTTCAGAATGATTGTAGCTCAATTAATTATTCATTCATTTAATAAGAATTTTTAAAATGGTAAACTGTGAGAAGTTGTATTGTTTTTATTTATTTTTAAATATTGAGTTGCAATTCAGATATACATTTCCTCTGTTTTAAAATTTATTAATGAAATCATGATTTAAAAACAGTATTAAATTTTCAGATTCCTTTATTGATAAGTAATTATTGCAGAGTCCCCGTGGGAAAAGTATTAAAAAATTAAAAATTAAAAATAAATTTAAAATAAATTTAATTTTATTTGATAATTTTAATTGTAATTTTTATTTTAGTTCAATTTCTTATTTAAAAATAATTATTTTAGAAATAATAGTTTTATGTTATCTCACTAGGTTTCCTCTGTATTAATCAGGGTTGGCATGTTTTTGACATGTGACAGTTTTTGACAGTTTAAACCATGGTTTAAACCGTCACGTCAAAAACCTCACTGTCAAAAATGTCGAAAATGTCAAAAACCTATATTCATATGTGAAATTTAATTAATACATAAAATTTATATATTTTTTATAAAGGATAGTGTTTCTAAATATGTTCTAGAAAAAATAAATTTAAAATTTTGAAGAAACACTTATATTTTGAATAGTAACCAAAATCTTGTACTTTTGAAAGCTCACATCTTTTGTAATATTATGTATTCATTTTCATGTGTTATTGAAAATCTGCAGTGATATTATTAAGAAATTTATTTATAACCAAATTTAGTGTATAGTATAGATTATACTAAAAATTAGACATTTTTAAAGATAAACATTAGCAGTTTTGTACATTAGACATCTTTTAAAGAAAAATCTTTTTAATATTCTTTTAAATCTTCTTAATAATCTTTTTAACATAAGACAATACAAATTTAAGTGCTTTCTGTTAAATACACAGAGTAGTTAGTGTCGATTTACAGTATATTCAGCCTATTCATTTACTATGCTGAAAATTTAGTTTATCCAAATACTTGTGAATTTCATTTTGCTGAATACTATATAGTTTTGTTGAATATCTAAATATTCAGCTGTTGAATAATTACTTCTTGCTTTCAAGATATGCATTATTTGTATTCTTAATACAAGTGGAGAAAAAAAAATTAAGAGATAAAAATTGTTTTAAAATGATAAGTGTAATAATTATAAATAAATATAATAAACAATATGAATTATATTTATCATTATTCATAAATATAACTACTTTTAAATTCAAATTAACATACTGGATAATAAAGATATTCGGTATAACATTAAAAAAAATTTTTTATACACTTGTATCTTGTATCAAGTTTGTATTTATACAACATAACTTGTAAGTTCCTTATAAATATTAGTTATATGTTCCTTATATGTCAAAAATGCATAGTAATAAACTTTTAATTTTCTTAAGTATCAAAAAGAAAAAAAAAATTTTTTTAAATATAAATATTTAAACAATTTTTGTGCAAAATTTTTCTGCACATGCATTTGAATATAAATTTCTGAGATTTTAAATCTGTTATTTTACCTTAATTTTAATTAAAAAATATTTTAAAACCTGCTGATTACCTATAGTATAATTAAATTTCAATATAATGCATGGCAACTGTTGGTAGTTTTGAAGTTTATATATTTTCTTGGCAAACTTTAGTTTTTGACATTTTTGACGGTTTAAACCAGTATTATACCCTTGTCATGTCAAAAACCACTTTTTGACGTCAAAAACCCAACCCTGGTATCAATTGATCACTGTATTAATTGATGTAAAAACAAATATCCAAGTGTTCTCTTGCTCTATGAAAAGTAGTCCAATTTTAATTGGATGCTTGTAATTTGAGACAAATGCTGAAATCACGTAATTGTGGGTGGCTTGTTACTTATTACAGCTTTTAGGTTTGGTTTATCACCACACTGACTTAATTTTTTGATGGGTTGGATTAGCATTTTTTTCCTGCAAAGAAAAGAAAACTTATATAATTTAAACCAGATTTTTTTTGGTTTAAATTAGTTTTTTGTTAATTTCCTTGTAGTTTTTATGTTCTTAGAAAAAGTGTTTTTGCTAATAAATAAATAAATAAATATTGGAGTGTTATTGTAGATAGGTGCCTAACTCCAGTGCCAGACCTGATTGGCAGCTTAGTTGTGGCATAAACAAATAACGCTCCTAACCCATGAGTGACATTGTTTGCAGGTACCCAATTTTAATAACAGCTTCTCAGACACAAAAGAGTTAAAAGCAATAAAAATGTGCATATAGTATAAAATTAGCCAATCTTAAGTCATAATTTAATATGTAATGCTAGATGATTACTAAGCTATCATTATTTTTTACTCAAGATTGTATTAAAAGAAATATAAAGGCTATAATTTTCTTTGTTTTTTTTTTTCTTTTCCTTTTTGTCATTTTTTCAATTCTACTTATTTTCCCAGATAACTGGAGCGTGAAGGGTAAGCGTAGGAAGACAACTGGTACCGGAAGACTAAGACATCTGAAAAAAGTTTGGAGAAGATTTAAGTATGTATTAAACTATTTCTATTTACTTTTTTCTAAATTATAAGAATTTTTGTTATCATTGGCTGTCCACCCCTGGAAAATATTCATATTATTCATTACCTGGAAAATATTAATTTAAGTCTTTTGCTTTTTAATCAGATTTTAATTAAAGCTGCCAGCATGTTATTGGCATGCTGTTTTCTCAATTGTACTCCTATAATTTTAGTCAGCAACTGAGGAAGTTTTTCTTTTTTTTAAATTGTGATTTTAAATTTTTACCGTGATGGTGGCAAATTTTCTGCTAATAGGTCTTGTGTATTATACATATCTGGTCATCAGAGGCCATAAATGCAAAATTTTTAACAGCTCTAAATATATGTAATTTTTAATATTTTTATTGTGTATGATATGAGATGATTTATGATATATTTTTGTGCAGAAAGGCTACTTGCAAATTTTTTAATATCTACTGATTTTATTTGTAAATATGAATCTCAAAGTGTGGTTTTTGAACCACAGGAATATGAATTTTTAGGACTGCCCGAATATGAATCTGATTTTAAGCTCACGTGACTTTTTGATGTTAAATCCTAAAGATACAATCGGGGCCGAATTACTCATTAAGCCAGACTAGCCCATGGCCTGGGGCCCCCAAAAATTTTATGATTATTTTTTAGTTCTAATTTAATAAATAAAGTAAACTTTAATTTATTTTTATTTTGCATATGCTTTCTTAAGTGAAAAGTTATATAAATACTTTTATATTTGAATAAATAAAAATATATGAGATAAAATGTAATCTAAAGCCTAGCCCCCCCCCCCCCNGCGCATGCTTAATCCACCCCTGGATACAATGTACGATTTTAAATTGTGAGTGTTTGATTTTTGTATAATAGTACTAAACAATTTACCATGCTGACAAGTTTTTCGCTAACAGCATTTGTGTAACATATCTGGTCATCAAATGCCATAAATATAAGATTAGTTAGTGCTATTAAATATTATGTATGTAGAGAGAGGAATTAGAATTTTAGAGGTATAAGTAAAAAAAAATTTCGCATGAGTGATTTTAAATTGAGACATTGGATAAAGGTAGATGCAAATGCAGTTGGAATCATGTAATGTTTTTTTTTTTTTCTTCCTCTTCTGTTATAATGAAAGTATTCTTCTTTTTCTAGTCATGGCTTCAGGGAAGGTGGTCAAGCTAAACCTCAAAAACACGGTGCTGCTGCTGCTGCAAGTGTATCAAAATAGATGGATTTGTAAATAATAAAAAAATCACAAAAATGTTTTTATTTTTATTAAATCAAATGCACTGTCTTATTTTCAGTTAAACATAGTCTTAAGGATAAATAATTTGTGATTTTCCTTATAGTAATTCTAAAACTTGTAATAATACATACTTGCAAAACGTATTTACTAGCTCAAACTAAATAATTGTCTGATTGGTCAAAAAATCCAGATTCGGTGTTAGTATAAGAATTTCCAGAATTTTAAACCAATAATGGGAATTTCTTCTAGAAATTGAGAAACTGCATATGGCTAGGGTTATTCATTTCTTTAAAGCTTAAGGTTTATTTAATTTTCATTATAAAACAGGTTTTATGTTTAGTTATCATATCAGTATTTTCCTTCCTTTTCCATGAAGTGTATGAGATTTTGTAATAGCTGTGCAGCACTGGTATATATCAGCATTTCTCTTTTGTTTACAGTTGTGTGCCATTTTTGTTTCCTAGTTTTGTACATTTATGATTATCATGATTCACACATTTTTTGTCAAATCCAGAAAAATGAAACAATTCCTGCTTTAATTCATTTATGATATATTAAACTACTCTATTTTATTGGTTAAATGCAATTATTGTAGGTTATAGTTGTTGGTAGATCCTACTTCATAGAATTTTAAACTTTAATTAATTTGGTTTTTACTATAATAAAAATTTCTTAGCAAAAGTTTATAAAACAATATCAGTTGGTTGAAAAAAAAATGAAAATCCTATAATCAATTTGAATGTTTTGTTTCAATACTGTTATTACATGAGGAAATATTTAGTCAATTCCTTGTTGAAATTAAATTCTTGTCAGATAATGAGATCAATTCTTTGAGATTAGATTTCTCTTTGATATGCCACAGCACTTATGATTTAAAGCATTACATTTTGGTATGTGATAGTGTGCAGTGTATGTGATCGGTTATTTGCTCTTGGGGGGGGGAAACAAGATTTTTCAAAACCTCATAGTTTCCTCTTTGCTCTTAAAATGTCTGTAGTTTAAGTGGGCCACCAACCTCGTGTGTAGGAAAATTGATTTTATTGTTCTTTTATTACACAATTTAGTTGATTTTTATCTACATTATTTTTAAACCGGATTTGTTTGCACCAAATAATAAGAGAAATTTGTCACTGTTTATTAGACATGAACGAAAGTGTAACTTTGGTTACACGTCTTCAAAATATCTATCAAGTAATTGCAGTTCACTGGAATTATAGTCTTTACTCTTTCAAGTAATGTGAGTAGTTCAGGTTTTGTAGTAATTTATTGCAAAATAGAAAGTACTTGTAGAAGTCTTTAAAATGTATGGGTTTGTAATTTCATTATGTTAATGATCTTTGCTTTTGGTGTATGGTGTTGCTTAGGCTTTTTTTTATTTGTTCCTTTTTGTATATATCAATCAGAGTGTGATTTAAAAAAAAAAATCAAAAAAGACAGTTTTTTGATTTAAATCAGATTTTTATTCAAATACACTGTAAGAAAAGAACTAAAAAAACTTCCTAACTATTTATGAACGGACCCTTCGTAAAATAATTTATCTTTTGCTTGTTTATCTTCATTTGTTATATTAAATATTGTAAACCCTTCTCATTAATGGGGGGGGGGAAGAAAGACTGATGTAAACTAACTTAATTTGTCTTCGGCAGACGCTTCTTCCTTCATTCGTCTGAAATAAATATTCTGTGTTCAGCAGTATAGGCTGAATACCAAATATTCATGTTGCATCGCTAATTTAGTAGCTGCAATTGCTGTTTTTTTTTTTTTTTTTTAAATTATAATTTTACAGTGTTGAGCATAATCTTGTATGTCTTTACAATTTAAAAACTCCTTGAAAATGTTTTTTTTTTGTTGCAATAACGGACCCTATTTGCACAAATTCATAATAGCGGAACCTGGTTGAAAGAATGTGACGTTTATTTTATATTCACAAATTACGAGTAATTTTTTCACAATTTTACAAAAACGGACCCTTCACAAAATGTCTGTATAGACCCCTGAGTACATAGTTTTGAATGCCTAGTAACTATTTTGAAACAAACGCATGATTGAAATTTAAAGACTAGCTGAAATAGAGAATTTAAAGAATACTCTATTAAACGGTTTCAATTACCAAATCATAATTTTAAATTGTGATTTCTTTTTTTTCCGCTTAATTTTTAAAGTTACTAAATAAATGTAACATTGTGTTTGTAAATGTAGTCATTCATCAAATAATAAATATTTAATCTATATATTTTTATTTTAAAATATTTATTTTTAATCCTAAATCAAAATAGGTAAGTTTAGCTAAAGAAAAATTTAAAAAAAATCTATGTACTCATTGAAATTTTTTTTCACGACGTTTCTTTATAGAAAATCTGATAATGTCAATGATACTGTAAACATATGAGGAAAAATACTTAAATGCTAACTTCATTCTGTACTTTCAATCTCAAGACTTAAAAATGTAATTACAAATGTGTTGGAATTTAACACATACCAGGAAAGTAATTTCATTAGCTAAAATTAATGCAGCAATTTACTTAAAATAAATTTTAAAACTAGGAAAAGAAGTAATAAAAGTATCAATAATTTAAGACACTGTTTAACTTTTTAAATCAATATATACATAAAAAATCAGTTGATTTAAATCAACAAACCCTGATATCAATATAAATATAATAAATTTATTCTTCAGCGTGTACAGTGCACGAAAATAAAAACCGACTTCTCGAGTAATTGTGATTTAATGATCGGGTCTTCACGTTCTAGGGACTCGTATCTTAAGGCTTCAAAAGGATGACCTCAAATAAGTTAATAATTGCTGACGATATTTTAAGTTGCAAAATCAGACGCAAAATTCTTTCTCTCAATAAACATAGCTTTTTTTCGATGGCTAAGAATTTCCGACTCCCATGTTCTAGTGCAGGGATGGCGAACCAATGGCACGCGACACAATATTTTGGGGCCCTCCACCGATCACAATTGTTACACTATGTATTGTTATTACACAAATGTTATGCTATGAAGCACATGTAACAATTTAATTAAAATTCACAAAAACAAGCAAAATAATAAACAATTATTAATAAAAAAATTACAAATTAATACTAATAAAAACAATTAATAACCGTAAAAAACAAGCTAACAATAAATACTAGCTAAAAAAGTAATCAGTCCTGCTTAGACTAACATCTTACAACCTTAATATAAGTTATTGGTCATCTAATCTGCAACAACAGAAGTCGCACTGATGTTACTTAAGTTGAATTACGTGTATAACTGAGACATTGCAAAATGTATTATTTTTTTTCAATGCAATTTTTTTATTTTTTGAGTTGATAGTATTATTTTCTCAATAATCACGAAGTCAAAATTATTTGACGGCATGTCTATGATCTCATTAAGCAATTTTTTAGAGAAATGGCAATCCAAATCCATCCGAAAAAAAGGTATGCTATTCAGAGAACGAACGTTTTGTATGATTTCGTAAAATATCGTTTGCACTAATATGAGGCACCCACTTGAACCGTTAAGATTAAGTCCTAGGACGTGAGGATTAGATCAAAAGTTATTAAGGGTGCTTCGTTTTTTATTTTGCGTTTTGTACATAATGAACATAAATTTATGAACAAGACGAACAGAAAGAAGTTAAGATATTTAAATAGAGTATGTTTTTTAAAATAGTTTCTGATTCTACCTCTGTCTTCATTTGAAAACATTAAATTTTCCGTTTCCCCCCTTTTTGTGTTTTTTTTTTTTAGAATTAAAGAAATATGGCTTGAGGGAGAAACAAAAGTCTTAAAACATTTTTATTTTCTTTTTTAAAGCCCTTGTTTTTTTTTTATCACAATAATCTATGTGATTATAATACCTATGTTATCACAATAATGATTGTGAAAGATTTTTCTTAAAAAAAATTTTTTTTTTGAATTACTGCCTATAATAATTTCATGTGTAATTGGAATGTTTCTTCAAAAATATTAATTCAGTAATATGCTTTTTGAGTTGGAACATAAAATAATAGACATTAACTTGATTCTAAATTGTGTTCCTCTGTTACCAATAAGTTACCTGAAAAAGTTATTAGGGAAGTTATTACCTGTGAAAGTTTAAGGGATAACAGTAGTCAAACTTACACAGTAAATTGGCTAAAATCCTTGTTAAATTATAAAGGAAATATATGCGATTCGCTCGGGCGTGAGCAGTTAACATGTAGGGTCATATATAACATAAGTTCTTTAAGCGTATAAAGGGAAACATGTGGTTCGCTTAGACGTGAGCAGTTAGCATGTAGGGTGATAAATAACAATATAGGATGATGAGTTCTTGAAGCTTGGACGCAAAAATAAATTAGAGGTAGTTACTTGGAAATGTAATTTCGAATTTTAACCATTAGCGTCATATGTGCTTAGCTTGAATATGGTTAATCATTCAAGGATATCCCAGCGACGCGCAAATCGTTGACACTGACTTTCATCGTTGGTCCAAATTTTTTTAAAACTTTTACCGAAATTTCTCACAATAAAAATTTTACTCAACAGTTTTATTTAGAAGTCCAAAAATAGATATTTCAATAATGGTCTGGTGAGAATTTGAGCCTGATCTAATTTTACATCCTTCAAATAATACTTACAGGTTTTATTTGAAGACGTTTAATAGCCTCGTTGCAAATTCCAAACCTCGATGAAAATCCGTTGGTAAATAATTCCGTCAAATCTTTTTGAAATGAAAGGCATTTATTTATGAGTGGACTTGTTTGTTTTTTCTTTATGTTGAGTTGCTTGTCCTGATAAGGAAGGAGCGCTACGCAAGAAACGTACCGCCGGCGAAGCACTACGAGTATCATCAGTACCTGTGTTTCCTGAAGAACTATTGTATCGAATATTTTTTTCTGGCTGAAAGAGCACTACATAAATTTTAGGCAGGAATAGACAAGCTAGAGTTATAGTTCCACTAAGGCTGACACACATGCATAATATAGTAGATTGTACCTGTTAAAAAGAAGAAAAAAAAGGTGTTATAGTATGTTAAAAACTAAGTTAAGATTACGTTAATACACTGCATTTCAAAAAAAGCAAAAAATCTCTTCTACGAGTATATTGTAGTACGTCTTTTGCATTTTACTTGTATAGCAGTATATAAATGCTAGTGAAAAATTTTATCTATGTTTTAATATGTTCAAGCGCAATTCTAATTTCTTACTGGTAAATTTTATGCTTATTAAATGAAAATCATGAAATACGTAGCTCTTAACCCTTTGTAACTCAACAACTCTGATTTAAGAAATATTTACGCGGATGTTAGAATACATCATATTAAGCGTGTAAAAAATAATGAAAAATTAAGGCCTTAAAATTAAAAATTTATTGATAAAAAGCATTTGTTGAACATCTCCAATATCGTGAAAAATAGGTCTCGCACCACATTTTTCAATCCCTCCTTAGCCAAATATACAATCAAGGGGATTGTTGTAAAAAAATTGTATATCCTGCAATTATGTCGTGGAACAATTCTTACTAAACGCTATATAATATTGGCAGCTGCACCAAGACTTGGTTCCTCCGAGTGCTCCGAGTTTGCAATATTTTCTTTACCTGAATTTAGTTCGATTTTATAGGTAAATCCACCTCATTATAGGATTGAATTTTCATGTATGTTGCAGATAAGTAACGCGGTGATACAAAGAGTTAATATAAATCCATAATTAGTGTCGTAAATTTTTGGCTGTTTTAATTAAAAATAAAACGGTAACTTACGGTATGTGAAATGTAATTGAAAACGTCTAAAGATGTGAAAAATTATTTATCTAATTTTGCTAGTTTCCATAGCATTTTAATATTTGAAAAGTTACTCAAACGCTGTATTGTCTGAGCTTATAGAAATTTGAATAATAATAATTGACAATTCTTTATTTATAATAATGAAAAGATTTTCACCTTAATGGAAAAATATTGCCAAATTGGCGGCGTTGAAAAAAAAGTTTAATGACTTTCAAAGCTTCAAGCGTAAGACACCTAATCAGTGCTTTTTTTTTTATCCTGGTGAAATAGCTTTGAAACACAACCTCTAGGACAATCATATACTCAGCATAACAAAACAATTAATTACAATAATTATTATTATATATATTTTTTGTTAGGTATAAAAAAGTGTGTGTGATCAAAACAGAAGTACAGTAGAGTCCCGATTGTCCGAGTTAATGTGGACCACGACTAACTCGGATAACTGAAAAACTCGGTTAAAACGAAGAGTATAAAAAAAGAAAGAAAAAGAGTTGGTATAAATGTAATATAGTTAAGAAATATAAGATTTATACGAGTACAATTACCACATACAATTCCTATTATTATAAAAAAGCTTACTTGAAAAAACTTAAAAAGTATACTTTGCGAGAAGTAAAGAGTTTTTATTTAAAAAAAAGTCCTTAATCGTTTTTTGTTTTACATAACTGGTGCTTTTCTGTAGCAATGTTTCGCCATTTTTTAGGCATAACAGGAAAGCTGGTGTCGCCTCTTTTTGTTGTTCTATGTATTCAGTAGCATTTTTGACAGCTTTAAGTTCATCGGTGTGAGAGATTTTTATATGTTGATTTTCATCGTCACTGTCTTCATCATCTTCGCTAGGTTCATTTTCATTATTGACGATATTAATGATCATTTCATGGGATTAAGTTGTTAGATTTTGTTTTCCCGAGTGTTTGGAAGATAAAAATAAGATTTATTTTTCGGCGGTATTTCTAAAAATAAAAAATAAACTAGAACAAAAAAAAACTTGAAATGTTTGATAGCTCGGTTAAAGCGGAAACTCGGATAACCAGGGCTCGGATTATCGGGACTCTACTGTAATAACATCTGCTAACACTTTAAATAGCTTTTTTAAAATAAATATATCCTACTTTGTATTCCTTTGCACTGTAATAAATTGGTACGAAGGCCAACCATACTATACACGAAGAATACATGGTGAAGGAAATACATTTGCTTTCATTGAAATTTTCTGGTAGATTTCTGGTTTTGTAGGCGTACACTGTGCAGAGAACTATAAGAATCATATTGTAGAGAAGACCGATGAAAACGGAGAGACTGTCGAATCCACAGACAATCATTCTTGAATTAGAAAATGGGTGATCTGCAATGTCTGGAGGTCTGACGATAAGCCAAAGAGTTGTTAATGTAATTTGTATGAGAATCAAGCACATACATATGATGATTTGGGATCCTGGGCTTATGTAGGAAGGCCTTTTTGTTATCCTCAAGCTAACTTCAAATATCCTTGACAAACGGTTTGTCTTTATGAATATTGCAGAGTAGCATATTGATAAGCCTAGGCCCATTCCAACTCGTAGAATTCCACAAGTAATCTGAAAAGTAAAGGAAATATCAAAATAATATACGGTTTAAAACGAAAGTTACAAATACTAACAACTTTTTATTTAGCGATCGGATTTCCGCTCTCTTTGATGCAATTTCAATTTTAAGAGGCTTATTTTAGATATGTTTATTGTGAAGAACTTACAAGTTAATGATGGCATAAAGGGCTGGCGGCCTTACTGCACAATCGGATTTTTACCTACTAAGATACAATTTTAATGGTTTGAGAGTTAATTATGCTAGTACTAACAAATTGCAAATGAGACAGAAAATACGAAACGCAAAACATATTTTCTCTGCACATCGTTAACTTTATTAAATTTTCTCTGGCTTAAGAGTAATCCTTTCAACCCTAAAAATAAGGGGAAGGAAGCTACATTCTGGACAATGTGATATTTATTTATAGTTTAGTCATGAGAATAGTCTTTTAAACAAAATTAATCCCGATTATGAGGCAAATGATATTACCCTCAGAATTATGTCGAAGGTTGTTAAAAAGAGAAAAAAAGTTTCAAGAGAAGTCTGAAGTAACTTATTGCCAGTTAAAAATTTTTTTTTTGGTTTGCGACTGCTTTACCACAAATTATAGGTTTTAAATTTTTTTCTTTTACGTTTTTACAAACTGATTCTCTCTTGCTGATTCAATTGCTTCTCTAAATAATTAAAAAGAAAATATATTAATTTTTAAATCATAACAATCGCCAAAAACTACGCACTATTCGATACTGAAAAATATAAAATTATGCGTGCGCTTCTTTCTAGGCTGAGGTAGGCGTTAAAATCTATAAAAGAAAAAATAAAATTCGATTTTCTAACTTTTACTAGCATAAAAATATTTTAATCAGTTAAACATATTCAAATTGGGTACTTGTTCGAGAAAAAGTGAAATAATTATGCCTAACCTTGTGATTTAAATCAGATTTGGTACCTGTAAGCGATGTGTCTAATCTGATTTGCTTCTGAATCAACAAACACCACGATTTACCTACGAGGACGTCACTTGCAATTGAAACACGTAATTGTTTTCCATTGGTGGAACAAAATCTGGTCTCAATGCGAATCAGGACATCATTGCTATTATAATTATTATTTTTTAAAAAACTTAACAGTGATTTTTTTGAAAGGTTTGATTTACTTACTGTTGTAGGCTTTAGAAGTATTATAAATGTATAGCTGTAGCAAAAAATTATTCCAACTAGTATGATATAGCACAACTCTCTGCCGGAAGCCATGATAACTGGAGTGGTATGATGCGTGAAGAAAATGATGATAACGATAAATGTGGAAATTAAGCCGAGAATTGAAAACACTAAAGGCACCAAAGGCCACGGACTGCTCAGTTCTTCTCCAAGGTATCTTGGTACAATTTCCATGCATGCTGACTTATCAGGTGAGGCAATATGTCCTAAAAATTAAATTTAAAAAAAGTAAGTTTTTAAAAGGAAATTTTCTTTAAAATAAAACCAATATAATTTCCTCTCAGAATGTAATTAAAAGTTAATATATTTACTATCATACTATAACGAGAACAAGTATTTTTCGATATTTAATGATGCAGGTGTTACGTTGTTTTCTGTGTTGTGTTCGAAATGACTGCAATAAGAAGGTGGTATTACAATATATTGCTTCAAAATTACTACTAGGGTAGGTCATTCATGGTAATAAAATTAATTTAATTTGATGGTATTTTTTGACTGAAATTTCTTATTTGCGACGAGAAATAAAGAAGATTCCAGAACAATCGCAGAGGTTGGTTGTGAAGAGTATTGAGATCCTTTATAATGTAACACGTAAATCTGTTTGTTGTACAAACCACATTTCTGGCAAAAAATTATACCTTGTTGTAGTTTGATTTACCTGTATAAGAAAATTTTGCCAAAATGAATGTATTGTATGGTTTTAGCATCTAGTAAAATAAAAAAAATTCCATAATTCTGGGAACCAAAATTTAGGATATGTAAACAAATTATTTGGTAATTTTTCCTTTTATATAGTAACGGTTTACCGGAAATATTAGTGTTCAAAATTATAGTTCTTATTGCCACACATTTAGTAAAAAAATACAAAACTGAAAAGTATATTTAATCGAATAAATGGTTTTTATGCAATACTTTAAAGCACTATGATAAAGTTACCAAATTTTACTACTTATTATAAAACCATATTTTATTGTTAAATATTTTCACTAAAATCATTATCAAAGCGCTTCGGTAAAAAATACTGACATTTTTGGTTTTCCAATAGAGCTAGAAACATAACAAATTTTACCATGTTCTAGTAGTTCTGACCATACTTTTTTTTTTCTCAGTGTAAGAAGACTCCGCCGTCGTTAGGCAAACTTGCAGGATTTATTTATATGGCCTTCATCTCTATCTAATATTAACACATGTTAGTTTCATTCAAAAAGTGCTCATCGAAGATGTGTTTTGTCTAAATACTTTACTTTTGAGTTAGATTTAAAATCGAAGAAAATAGAGAGGTACATGTTATTGCGTTATGGATAATAAAATAAACACAATTCTATTTCACAACGGAAAACAAAAATGACTACGAGACAAACATAGGAGACGAGAAGTGAAATTTGAGCGGATCCTCTTACTTATTTTATAACAGTCATTGAACAGCCGACTCATTTGTGAGTTTACGACAGCCGAAGTTCAACACCGTAGCCTTGTAATTTTGAACCCAATCCAGAAGAAAAGGGAACTACCGGATCAAGTATTGGGAGAAATTCGACTTCGTGGAGGACTTTCTCATGGGACTAACCCGCATTTACGCTACATGGTGAGGAAAAACACGAAAACCATCCAAGGTTAGCATGACGGCCAGGAGACTCTAACCCATGATTCGTCCACCACTGAGGATATTTTATGTCAGCACTGTGGTCGGCGTGAACCAGTTGCGGATTTCGTATCGATCAAGCATAGCTGGGATTTGAACCCGGCTCACCTCACTGGAAGGCGAATGCACTATCTCCTGAACCACCTTCACCATGGCTTCCTCTTACTTATTGAAATAAATATTATAGAAACTTACCCCATCTCTTTATTCGTAAAGTGCGTTATTTGCTCAGAATAGTGGACTTGTCAATAGCAGGCTATTAAACCTTATCTGAATATTTAATACAAAAAATCAAATCTTATAACAGTGACACTAGTATCTTATGATAGAGTCATTTTTGAAAAGCGTAAATTGTTAAAATTTATTATTAGAAAAATATTTTTATTTTATTTTATTATTTTTTTATATCTCAAAACCGAAGATGAATTTAATTTTGATCTTTGGGTGTTCAAGTGAATTCTTCTCAACTAATAGTTAGGGTTCATCAAAAATATACTAATGTCGTAGGTTGATAATAATCGTAAAATTAAGTACATTGCTTTCTTAGTGAAGTTTAATATGCATTTGTCTTAAATATAGAATTTTACGAAAGTAGGTTATGCTTTTACAAAAACTCCTCTGTCTCTATTGGTTAAACTACTTTCTCTGTTCGTCTCTTTAAACCTCTACCGTCATTTGGGGTTTAAAAAATGAGAAAGGTCAAAACCATAGTATGTCCATTTCTGTACTTTTCATTCGTGTTTTATTCACATTTTGCTTTAAGTTAGGATCAGTATTTTTTAATAGTATTGAGGTCAATATTTCGTGTATTGTATATTCGTAAATGTCGTCGTAAATGTATATTTGTCGTCGGCCTTCTAAGCCCAAGTCTGGGGGTTCGATCCCCGGCCCAGACACCGGATTTTTGAGATGCAGAAAATCCTCAGCGGCCATGTCGTATGATTATGCGGCATGTAAAAGATCCTTGGAGTGCCTTATTGGCTCTTGGCATTCCCGGCAAAATTAAATTCCTAGTGCACTTTAGCATCCAAAATAGAGTCTCGGTGCTGCCATCTAGTGTGGCAGAAACTAGACGTCCAAATTAACATGACCAACGGTATCTCATCCATTGTGGTGGTCATGAAAGAGTGGATACCACCTCTGGAGAACGCACTAGGTCTGCTTATCGGCAAGACCGATTGTGCAGCTTATTGGAAATTAAAAACAAAATATTCGTAAATGGAAGATTATTGTTGCCAATTTAATATTAAAATAAAGAGGTAAAGCTTATTGCGTCATTCATGAGTAATAAAAAGAATTTTCCCAAACAGGCTATGGAATCTCAATTTTCGTTCTTTATTTTTGTGTTATGCTCACATGAATACCTCGCACAAAGAATAGAGTTAATGGAGAGCGACACTTACCACATAACATTGATGCTGTGGATGATTATTAAAAAATAAAGAAATTAAATCTCTTTATTGTTTATTCGTATAATTATTTCACATCTAATAAAGTGGGCCGGGATAGCTGGTCGGTAGGGCGCTGAGCCCATGTCCGAGAGTTCGTGGGTTAGAACCCCGCCGGCCGAAGACTCCCGTGTAGTAAAGTGACTGATGCACGTTAAATCTGCCCAGTCGCTAAAGTCCTCCATGTTCCCATAGCAAATCAAAACCTCTGGAGGTACTGGATTGGGGATAGATCGTTCTCTGATTCCGGTCAAAAATTATGATCTGTGGATGAATGAATGGGTCCACCGTATAAACGGTGCGACATATGGTGTGGCAGAAGTTGAATTCTTGGCCATAGATGGTGCCACTGAAAAACAAGAAATGTACACTGCCTTAAATTTGCTCGGTTTCACCCAGCAGGCCTGCCCATGTGGCAAGTAGCGTTAGAAACAACAACAACACATCGAATAAAGATTTTCCAAAACAAGTTATGGAAACCTTTTTTTTTGAGTTGTGTCTAAGGGGTGGAGTTTAATAAATGTTGTTCACAGACTGTTCACCTACTGTTTACTTATGNAAGTGACTGATGCACGTTAAATCTGTCCAGTCACAAAATTGTCCAGTCCATGTTCCCATAACAAATCAATACATCTGGGGGTACTGGATTGGAAATCGATCGTTCTCTGATTCAGGTCAAAAATTACGATCTGTGGATGAATGAATGGGTCCGCCCTATAAACGGGTGCGACGTATGGTGTGGCAGAAGTTGAATTGTTGGCCATAGATGGCGCCACTGTAAAACAAGAAATGCACACTCTGCCTTAAATTTGCTCGGTTTCACCAAGCAGGCTTGCCCATGTGGCAAGTGTCATTAGAAACAACAACACATCGAATAAAGATTTTCCCAAACAAGTTATGGAAACCTATTTTTCGAGTTGTGTCTAAGGGGTGGTGTTTAATAAATGTTGTTCACGGAGCCTGATCTAGAAATGAGGCACAAAATTGTCAGGGGGCTCCCTAGTCGTTACTCTAAAGTACGAAACTTACCTACTGTTTAATTATGAAATGTTTTTGAATGGCATATATTAATTACGATGTATTAGTAAATTTGAGCTTATATTTATTTCAATCTTTATTAACTCTTAATTCTTATCGACAATTTTTTAGGAAAAATATAAAAAGAAATTATTTGTAACATTTAGGGGGCCTGGGCCTCTCAAGCCTTATGAAAAATCAGGATATCTGGTTGTTCACTTAGGTTAACTCTATGAATCTAGTAAATTTCGAGTTACTTGCCTTTAGGACATTCTAAGCAAGGGCTGTAAGGGTTTGGTAAATAATGCAAATCTTTACATGGCCTACAAGTATAACAGCAACGTCTATTAGGATGTTCACGAGGAAGAATGCGTTCTTCTCCTCTTTCGCACTCTTCATTGCACCTGGACAAAGGAGGCCTCTCTGCTGCATCCGGACTAACTGTCCACACTGGATATTCTTGAATTCTAAGTCTGGAAGAGTAGAAATAAAGGTTTGAAGATAATGGTTAGCAGTTATTGTTTGTTATTTAAAAAATAAGCAGGCTTCCTTTATTTGCCTAGAATGATTAAAATTCATTTTTAGACAATGGAAATTGCCACGTAGTTTGAAAAGTGCCGAGACTAACCAACAAATGGAGCCCCTAACGAATCAATACTTCAATTTACCTATGTTAACTGCTAGTATATATTTTTCTTTGTTGCTTTCAGTGAATGTCTGCAAATAAAAGCACTTTCGTAAGTTCTTTTCGCGTGTTACCCCCAAAGATGCTAGTCAGGATACATTAACAAATAACTATGTGAAAAAAAGAATCTTTTTTTTCGGTAACCACTTAAGTGGTTACCATGCAAGCTGAAATTGAGTGAATTAAGTGGTTGCATGCTGAAATTAAGATTTTGGGACAATGATAAAGGAAGTATACACGTTTTACACATATTTGACCTGTCTGCCTATCATTGTCTTGGTCCATCTTATTTTTTCCCCCCCATTTTATTTTGGTCTATCTTATTTTACACTCTATCTGCTATGCAAAATTTGAGATGGCTTAACTGAAATACTGTGGGGGTATTTTCAATAAGCTTTTAATGAGTATGTCTGCAGTCATCGAATATGGATTGTTTTGATTGCTATTTTCATATGATAATAAATCTATCTCTCTGTCAACCGGTCAACGGCGTAAACACTTAGTATTATAGTCTTCCGAGTCATGGCCAAGCAGATAGAGTTTTTAAGAGCTATTCTTTTTTTTTTAATAAAAAAGATCACATTCTTCACAAAATGATGTTTTTGGTACATGAGCTGACATCACTCACACATAGAAGATCATTTAGCTATGTTTATTATGCTATGTTATCATTAAATACAAACAGAAAACTTTTGATAAATGGATTTTAATAAATGGAATGGGAAGGAAATAAATTACGGTAAAATATTTTCTTTAGGATACTTATAGTAACACGATTGTTTGATTTAATCATATAATTAAAAATCAAACTTTCAGTTTAAATATTTAAATTTTGGTTTTTACATTTTAAGTTTTTGCGCTTGAAAAAATGTAATATGAGTAGCATTTTCTATCAACTAATTTTAAAATTTTTATAGTAAGTGATACCAAATTAAAAAGCTCATTTCCTGTATAAAACTCAGCGTATAAGATGATTTAAAAATGGGAAAATTTGAAAGTTAAGTCTGATGAATTGCATTGCATTTTACATTTAGGAAAGAAAAAAGCATCGGAATGAAAATGAAATGGGTTAATAAAAACAAAGGTAAACAACGTTAAAGAGCACAAAAATATTATTAAAAGCAGGCAGCTGTTTCTGCTCAAAGGGCAACCTTCATCAGTGCAACAGGTTAGAAGCTTAACAGGCAGAAGCTTAAAATGAAGAAATGGGTTGATACTTAAAATTGGGGATATCAGTTTGACAACTTTCTATTTTTGCTTATTTAAAAAAAAAAAAAAAGAATAAAGAAATATGATACAGGCGTTAGAATTTCGTAAATGAATGATCTGGCTAAATTAAATATGCACACATATATTATTTAAAATTTAAAGTTATTATATATTATTATTTACTTTACTATTATTTATTACCGTGTGAGAAAGCTAAAACGTCTTTAATCTTAAATTGTCTTCCTAATTGTATAAAATAATTTATTTTTAACTTTAAATTTTTTCCTTTTACTAAATTTAATCTTTAATCTCATACAGTTATATTCTATTTGAAAAAACAGAAGAAAATTAAAAAATTTTAAATAAGTTGTATGATTGAAAAAAGCAATTCTTGTCCCGAATTTCGAACTGAACGTTTTTTCAAATTTACTTTCGAATGTTTAAATAATTATTTTAATACTTATCTTTTTGACAAAGCAAAAAAAAAAAAAAAATTTAAAAATTGAAACTAAAATAATAGGCAAATGAACTTTTAAATAATAGGCAATAAATTTTTTTTCCTATGCATTTGAAGAAAAAACGCTGTTCAGTTTTGGAACTTGAATTTTTTAACTATGCCTATTTTTAATTTTTATTTTCTATTGGATTAGACTTGTAATACAATATTGTAGAGTTATTATTTTTCTTTTGAGTTAAAACAAAATAATAGCAATATTGAGATTCTATATGAAATATTGATCGTTTATTTATCTCTCTTAAGCTTTCATTATCTTTGAGAAAAATTTTTTTTACTTGAGATTTTTTTTTTGTTGTTGAATAATTATTGAATTTTCAAACAAATAATTTGAATTAACAGGCAAAAACTGAATTTGCATATGAAAGTCATTTTTACAATCTATTAGAAGCAAAGACATAATATCCCTTCTTTTTAGGAAGAATGAAAATAAATATTTAATTTTTACGTGGGGACAGACTCTCTTCATGAAATTTTATGCTACCACTTTCACTGTAGCAGAGAAGTAGGGACACTTAGCATTTACTCTAGTGAATTTTAAAATATCATGGTTAGGAATATAGTATTAAATTGCATAAAACTGTAGCTTGTTGAGAGAAAATGCCGGCGAAGTTTTCCTACACTTTAACATTATACAAGTAATACAACCACTAGAAAGAGTTTTTATTTATTTCAAATGCAACCATGAATGAAATATTTACCTTCTATTTTTGTCCCATTCTCCTATAGGAACATATTCATATTTGTCACTTAATCCAGCAACTTTTTGATACTGATAAATTGAGTAGTTAACAGGAATACTTCGAGATGGATCAAAGCTAATTTCCATATCATGTCCTTGCATGCCTGAAGGAGAAAGAAAGCATTCTTAGTAAAAAGAGAAATACAAGATGGGACAAAAGTATGTAAATGTTTATATATCTTATGAAATATGCTTCTACTCAAATATATAAATGTATATACACTGCTCAAACAAATTAGGAAAGCACATGGATTTAACGAAAGTACGCAAATATTTTTTTCTGATAATTAAGACAAATCAAAATATCCATAGACCTAAGTATAGCAGAAAATAGCAAAAGAAAATTTGACATGCAAATAAAAGTTTANAAAAAAAAAAAAAAAAAAAAAAAAAAAAAAAAAAAAAAAAAAAATAAATAAATAAAAAATAAAATAAAATTGAAACTAAAATAATAGGCAATGTGCTTTTAAATAATAGGCAATTAAATTTTTTCCCTCTGCATTTGAAGAAACAACGCTGTTCAGTTTTGGAGCTTGAATTTTCCAACTCTGCCTATTTTTATTTTTTATTTTCTATTGGATTAGAATTGTAATACAATATCGTAGAGTTATTTTTTTGCTTTAAAACAAAATAATAGCAATATTGATATTCTATATGCAATATTAGTCGTTTATTTATCTCTCTTAAGCTTTCATTATCTTTGAGAAAAATTTTTTTACTTGAGATTTTTTTTTATTGGATTTTATTGAATTATTGAATTTTCAAACAAATAATTTGAATTAACGGACAAAAACTGAATTTGCATATGAAAGCCATTTTTATGATCTATTAGAAGCAAAGACATAATATCCCTTCTTTCTAGGAAGAATAAAAATAAATATTTAAATTTTACGTGGGGGCAGACTCTCTTCATGAAATTTTACGCTACCACTTTCTATGTAGCAGAGAAGTAGGGACACTTAGCATTTACTCAAGTGAGTTTTAAAATATCCTGGTTTGGAACATAATATTAAATTGCATAAAACTGTGGCTTGTTGAGAGAAATCCATGCCAGGATCGACAAATCAATTTGCTTTTGCTCATGTAAAAAAATTTTTCTTGTAAATTCTAAATATTTACAAAGCCATCAGATAAATCAATTAAAAATGTTATTTGGCAATTAAGTTATAATGTTCTGTGAAATTGACAGAATATTACAATATTACAAGTATGAGATGCAGAACCACAAAATGTCAGCAGTTAATAATATTTTTATGCTTAGTGTTTGTAATAAGACAAAAAAAATACTGATGTGACCAGAAGACGATGAAGGCTGAAACGCCAACAAGGGAAAATATTAAATTATAATAATAACCATAATGATAATAACCATATTATTAATAATAATAAGCTTTCCAATCTTTGACGACGTGTACACTTTAAGCTACTTAATCAGTCTACTTTTTACTGAATTACGGAAATCAATTACACCATTGTGAGAATAGTAATCCTGTTTTTCAATGAAATATAATTAATTTGAAGTTCATTTTATTTAAAACTTATAATTGATTTTAAGCGCAGTTCTAATAACTTTTTTTTAAAGAAAATTCCGGCGAAGTTTTCCTACATTTTAACATTATAATACAACCACTAGAAAGAGTTCTTAATTATTTCAAATGCAACCATGAATGAAATATTTACCTTCTATTTTTGTCCCATTCTCCTATAGGAACATATTCATATTTGTCATTTAATCCAGCAACTTTTTGATACTGATAAATTGTGTAGTTAACAGGAATACTTCGAGATGAATCAAAGCTAATTTCCATATCATGTCCTTGCTTGCCTGAAGGAGAAAGAAAGTATTCTTAGAAAACAAGATATTTAGAAATACAAGATGGCACAAATATGTGTAAATGTTTATATATCTTATGAAATATACTTCTACTCAAATATATAGATGTATATACACTGTTCAAACAAATTAGGGAAGCGCATGAATTTAGCGAAAGTACGCAAATATTTTTTTTTGATAATTGAGACAAATGAAAATATCCATAGACCTAAGTATAGCAGAAAATAGCAAAAGAAAATTTGACATGCAAATAAAAGTTTATGGAACTAGAGAAGAGATTTAAGTGCTGGAATTTTGATTTCGCAGAAGTTGCTGTCTTTCGTTATCTCAGAGGTAAAATTCAACCTTTCGGCTTTTGTTTTCAGGAAAATTCACTTAAAAATGTCATGACAACATGATCTACCAGAATTCATGACAAGGCGTATTATCGAGAGATTGGAATACGGGCAAACACAAATAAGTGCGGCGGACTCTGCTGAAATTGGACAGAAGTATGATTGCAAGACTGGAATCGTTTCCGAGTAACAGGGTACGTTTGATGTCGTCTAGGACAAGGTCGTCCACGTCCTACCATAGCAAATAATGACATTATATCTCCAGTTAACAGCCAACACCACTCTAATTCGAAGATAGTTTCTTTTGGAAACAGGATGAAGGGTCTCAAGTCAAACAATTCTAAATGGGCTTCATGAGGGTGGCCTGTATGCACGCAGGCCAATGGCGTATATTGGTATATTCTCTTGACAGCCAGACATCGGACTGCCCGAAGAAAGTGAACAGTTCAACATCGAGACTGGATGGCAGCCTGCTTGGATCGTATTCGGGTGATGCGTTGCTGCAAGATCAAGGCCTCTTGTTTCCGTCCAAGGCTTGGAGATCGCACTTCGTCAAGAGGGAAATAGTAGTATTCCCCAAAGTTTCATCGATAATCTCCTCGCATCCATGCAAAATAGGTGTACAATATTCTTAGCAGTTCGGGGAGATCACACACTATAATAAACTTCCTGTATCATTTCTGTGCAACCAGTTTTTTGTCATTTACTTATTATCAAATTGTTGCTTTAAAATATCATTTCATGTTCTTTATACCATTCCAAATAACTAAAGCTCATGCAGTTGTTTTTTCGCGAATTTTTGAACGATCCATCTTTCTTCCGCCTCAACTGTTAATGTTTCTAACATTGATTACTCCTTAGCTAAGAATTTAATAATTAAGAGGAATCAGACAAAAACGATATTTTTATAAATTAAAAAGCGTTTATATATTTGATTTCATTATTTATATTTTAGTTGGTACGTTGGAGAACAGTGGCAGTTGGTAATTCCCAGTGGAAAAACCTTTTGGAAACAGCCTTTGCTTTGTTGTAGAGCTTCAGAATGAAAAATAATTAATTAGTATCTAAGTGAGTAATAAGGACTGAATTGATTCATGCTTGCAAATCCGATTAAAAGTTATTTGTGGATAATAACTCGAGTAACTTTTTTATTACTTTCCCTTCTGTGTTAAGTTATTTTCGAAAGTAAATATTTTTGACTGAATAAATTTTTTTCAAAAAGAAGGAAGTGAAATTAACATTAGATAGGAACTTGAAAGCTGCATATTATATATATATATAGTTAGGATCAGTATTTTTT